AAGTCGCCAGTTCTCATCTTCCAGCTCCCCAGCTACTCCGCGTACTAAAGTTGTACTACAAAGTCGCCAGTTCTCAGTTCTCAGCTTCCAGCTCCACAGATTGCTCCGCGTACTAAAGTTGTACTACCAAGTACCAAGTCACCAGTTCTCAGCTTCCAGCTCCACAGCTACTCCGCGTACTAAAGTTGTACTACAAAGTCGCCAGTTCTCAGCTTCCAGCTCCACAGATTGCTCCGCGTACTAAAGTTGTACTAGAAAGTCGCCAGTTCTCAGCTTCCAGCTCCCCAGCTACTCCGCGTACTAAAGTTGTACTACAAAGTCGCCAGTGCTCATCTTCCAGCTCTCCAGATACTCTGCGTACTTAAGTTGTACTACAAAGTCGCCAGTTCTCAGCTCCCAGCTCCACAGATTGCTCCGCGTATTAAAGTTGTACTAGAAAGTCGCCAGTTCTCAGCTTCCAGCTCCCCAGCTACTCTGCGTACTAAAGTTGTACTACAAAGTCGCCAGTTCTCAGCTTCCAGCTCCACAGATTGCTTTCGCGCGCTCGACACGCACGATCTCCGCAGAGGGTTGCGCGCGCAGCCGGCAAATCGCACTCTCGCCTGCATTTCGCGCACTCGACACGCACGATCTCCGCAGAGGGTTGCGCGCACAGCCGGCAAATCGCACTCTCGCCTGCATTTCGCGCACTCGACACGCACGATCTCCGCAGAGAGTTGCGCGCGGACCGGACAAATCGCACTCTCGCCTGCATTTCGCGCACTCCACACGCACGATCTCCGCAGAGGGTTGCACTTTCGGTTGACGCTGTTCGTCCCACACTCCGCCTTTAAGAGAGAATTTATAAAGTGGGGAAATGTTTTTTCATTAGGACATCTCCCGTGCTACTTTTCCATATTTTCCATACTCACACTTGCTTGCATACTCACACTTGCATACTTTGACCCTGGCATACTTCGCACTTGGATGCTTTCGCTCTTCCAGTGTGTGTGTGTGTGTGTGTGTGTCAGTGTGAGTGTCGAAGTGTAAGTGTGTCAGTGTGAGTGTCGAAGTGTAAGTGTCGAAGTGTCAGTGTTCAAAGGATTTTCCGGAAGAACCCTTCGCAATGCTTTCGGGAAAAAGAACGAAAAACCTTCGCATTTCACCAACCGGGTCGGGTCTCCCCTCGGGTCGTCACCGTTCTTTCAACGCCGGGCCACGAAGCAGCTGGCTGCGAAGTGGACCTGCTTCGGTGAAAACGTGGGAGGAGAGGTCCACTGAAGCAGGGAGATTCCCAACAGCACCGATTTGGGCATCCAGTTCAGTGCGAAAGGGTTTTACCAAGCAAAGCTAGGCTTTTAGATAGTGAAAGCTAGGTCTTGGATGGGGACTGAAAAAGTACTCTCCTTCCACCCTGATGCCCTGGGATTAGTGCGACAGCAAATGATGAAGCTGGCTGTATCAGTGAAGAAATGCATGAACAGCGAATGAAACGTTCGCAAAACCACTTGAGGCAAAAACCGACAGCTGCCAGCAGGATGCATTGAGGATGTTGTCATCTCACCAGAAACGGCACCAAAGATCCCTTATGAACAGTTAGTTCCTGCGGAGAGTGTGGATGGCCCTCTCAAGGGACATAGTGAAGATATTAGTGAGTGAGGTTCGGAGTTCCTTCCAGGGCACAACACCTCAACCTACTAGCGATGGCCTCCAACCTACTAGCAATGGCCTCCAACTAGTAGCTTCTTGTAGTAATAAGGTGCCTTGTTACTATAGTAGCTATTTGCTACTAGTGGCGGACAAGACGGACACATTCACATACATCGCCCAACGACTTGCGACACGTCGATGGGCCGCGACTTGCGCCTCCTCTTGGATCGTTCGCTGGAACTGTCGCATCCGTTCTTCAGTCTCCGCCTTCACGAAGAAGCGCCCCATCTTTGCTTCGGATTGGTGCTCCTTTGCCGGACAAGTGGCATAGACGAATCGTGATTTGGTCCACAGTCCGCCAGGACGCCGTTGCGCGTAGGGGAACCCCCAAAGGACAGTCCAATCGACAAATCTACAGGACGGTCCAGGTTTGGTGAATGAACCTCCCAATGCACCGCCAAGTATCCGTGAACAACACTGACCCCAACCTTGTCCTTGGAGAAACTTTTTCTCCATTTCCCGCCTGCTCAAGCTCAGTATGGAAAGCACATCTGAACGGTTGGGTTTGATGTGAACAATGCCTCCTAAGTCGTAGCCACAAAACAAAGCCAACTACGCAAAAAGAGAGCCGACAGCACCCCACTGACCGCCGTGACGTCTTGGATGCTGCTCTCCTGGAGATCTCGTGAGAGCGCCATGAAGGGGAACTGCAGTTTGGAGACATGAAGCTGTGCCTGGGAGAGACGACGCTCCTTCTTGGCTTCGGACAAGTCAAGGTAGAGATTCAGGAACCACAATTGCATTGACACATCACTTAAACAGTCGACCGATTGACAACATGGGCCACTGCAGGTCGGCTTTGAGAAGCACAGCATGAAAAACCTCAACTACTGCGTACCGTTTTCCGTAGCAGTTTGCAAATTCCAAAGGGTTGGCATGGTAGAGTTTAGGTCGTCACCAAGGGGCCAGCTACTTAGTTGATCAATACAACTCATCCCTTCACATCATGATTGGTTGGTCGTTCAGTTTCCGGTTGGACACCCACACTAAGACTACTTTGTTCCCGACTCTGGACGTAAATTCCATGGGTCACCCAACACTTGTTAATAATCCCAAATCAACCAGAATGACAAACACAACATCAACAACAAAAAACAACTGCAGTTCTGAGGTGGTGCAAGAGAAGGTGTCTATCAACTGCGACTACTCACAGAAGCACGACGTGAAGGCCAAAGCCGTGTGGCAACCCACTATGAAGTTGCGTCGCCACACTGCGATACAAACCGTCACAGGTCGCACCCGATCAAACGTCGGTCTAGTTCTTCTCTGGTTGCCAAGTGCCCCATCAAATGAAATGAACATCTAGCAGTCAAAACCCTGTAGCCACCATACGGCAGGTCATATAACTCCCCAAGTTCGGCTACGAACAGCACAAAGCCCCACGCTTTATTGCCGAGGTGCGAACTTCTGCGCGGAGACTGATTGATGCAGCATGGAGTCCGCCGTGTTGCCACCGTGCATGAGGTGCAAGCAAATGCCCTTCCAGGAATGCTCCATTCTAGGACTGGTTGGTGTCGTAGTTTCTTCTTGCATAGATTCGAAGTGGATCCCTATCTACTTGGATCTTTCAAGATCTCTGCAAAAGAAGACCTTTGAAGACCTTTTGAAAAAATGTCTAGATATGAAATCGGTTTATATGCATTTGAGAAAGTAAGACTTAAGACCTTTTCGCTGTTGTTGGGACATTTTCGGGGTATGCCAGGGTATGTTGATTTGGGAAAAGGGATTTATCCTAAGGAACTGTTCATGCAAACGTCCTTTGGAACCTTGTTTGTGATTATGATTTTCACCCCACCAAAGGTGTCACCAGGTCTCAAAGGAACAGCAACAAACCTGAGACATCAAGAACTATTGGGGAAAAACATGAACCTGCTTCTGTCGTGATGTCACTGAGTCTTGAAACTGCAACCATTGCAGCTTGCTTTGATTCAAAAAGTCTAGAAACCAAATCAATGGCGTGAGCTATCCTGCGTCCAGTAGCTAGTAGGGTCCTACTTAACAGCTACTAGCTAGCTTATCTCTCTTGCAAAAGCAGCTCCCTCTCCCCCCGGGCGTAAAGACAGATTCCCTTTCCCTCTCCAGAACGATGCGTTCCCGAAAACAAGATCTCAGGCCATTGGCGCCTCTTCATCTCGCTTGAGCCCCACTCGATGTTGGTAAACCTCTGACAATTCGTCGCATGTGTGGGCAAAGGGGAACACCTGGTGAGAACCTGTTGGTACTGCCTTTGGCTCCTTAATTTCCAAAAAAGTAAGGCCACATACACGCATCAGCACCCACCCTTTGCTGAAGAAAAAGGACAACATCCAAGATGATGGACAAATCGCCCACTTGTTCCACCTGCACAGAAGTACCTCGCTATCCCTCATAGCCGGTTACGTGCATGTCCCTGGCACATGAGCTGACCAAGTCCGGTTGAATTCATTGGTTGAACGTTTTGCATGGGATTTTTGGGTACTGCTCATGTTCAATCTATGACCAAACCTGAACATATACCAAACCTGAGCACTTGGTTGCGGCAAGCAACGCACCCAAGACTTGCCACACACACACACACACACATCCACAAGTGTTTTTCGACCTTTCGCGTTTCCACACGTGGAAGTGTGGCCAGGAATCTCGGATGTGAGCGGACCTGTATCTCGCTTGGTAACTCATTGTCTTCATATCCGGAGTGTCTTTTTAATGGTTTCGCATTGACTTGTGGGGCCATCTCTAAGGGGGTGTCTGAAACAACCCTGCCAAGGTGCCCTTCACCACCCTCTCGTGGCTCCGTCCTCTCTCTCTCCCCACAGATCGGTTCCAGGTTCGCCTCTTTCAAGCGCAGCAAGAAGTCCACATCTTCGCACATGCTGGTGTCCTGGGCGCAATCGTCGAAGAACTCCATGCGAGCCGACCGGCCGAGTCCGCACTCGGAAGCGCATGTACCGTGCTGCGGTGCCGGATTTCATCGTTCAGCGCCGAAGGAAATCGAGCACCAAACCAAAGCGGGGATTGCTGTCATAGAGAACATAGCTTCCAGCACTTGAGGCTGGACTGGCTTGGTTCTCCTGTGCTCAGTATTCTCCCCTGTAACTGGAAATTACAAGAACCTCCATGGGCACGGCTGAAACGATAGTGAACCACGGCTGAAACGATAGTGAACATCTCAAAACAGCCAGTGTTTTGCAGTTATGGTGTCACACATGTCCACTGCAGTGTCGCTTGGATTGATTTTAAAGCAACCAATGTTGCAGCTGTTTTGGCCTCTTTTCTGGCCACAATTGCCGCAGTGCCACGATTGGCTCCGGCACCAAGGCGGTGAAAGTCTTCGGCTGGCTGAGCCCACCAAGGCGCTAGTTAATGACTCTTCATGTTCGAAGGATTTCCTTCTGGTAGGGTTCTTGAGGTGCACGGGTCTCGATCTGCTTTCAGTGTTCTATTTTTTGTGTTTTTTTTCCCGAGCGCGTAACGAAGGGTTCTTGTTTAACTCTGGGGGTCTAGGAATGGACTTTTTCGCGATTCGTTGTTGTAGTGACCGCAGCCGTCCGCAACCGTTGGTAACCGTTCGCAGGTGGAGCGCTATGGTGCTGACATTCGGCGAAGCTTTTGGAGAGGGTTTCGAATGGAAACATGACGTGTCAGATTCCTGTGACATAGCGAGGAAACAATTGGAAACATGAGAGGTGAAGTGTGGAGGATGAATTCCCTGCGCAGGTGCAGCGTTTGCGAGATGGTGAGTTTTCTGCGCAGTCACATTCGGATTGACGTTTGGAGGGTGGTGTTTTTGGGGTGTTGGACGTGGCTGTGGACATTGGGATTTGCGTTGTCGCTGTGACATTGGGATTGGCATGTGAGCGGGTGTTGTTTGGAGTGGCTGGAATAGCGAAACTGCTTGGCAGGGCTGCAGGCGGTCGATGGTGGTTCGCAAAGTGATTTCGCACCTCGTTGGCGCCTTGGAATTTTGGCGGGCCCTTCGTCTTGCGACTGCAACAATGAATGCCACAAAAATACTCCACATGCGGCGCCACGGCTTCCCGCAAGCCCAAGGAGATGTGCGTTTCGATTTCGGCCTAGGCCGACACAGTGGGGCACAGTGTCTGGCAACTGCTTCATGCGCGCCACGGTCTCGGGAGTCCTGTGCGCTGTCCGGCCGAGCTGCCCGCAGCCTCCATGCGCTGGCCAGTCGAGACGCCCACGTGAGGATCTCTTTCCAGCCGCTCCTCTCCCGCCGTGCTGACTCATAATAATAAAGGTGTGCATAGTGCAACAGGACTAACACCAAATGAAGCAAGGAAAGAGAAGAATGAGTTTAAAGCAAAATTGAATGTATCAGTCTTGAAGTGCCTGATCTTATCCCTGATCAGAGGCCCACTGTAGTCCAATCTCATCTCAATGTTGGCCATCCCCTCATGACCTGGATGACCTCATCCTTCATCTTCTTGAGGTACATCCCCAGGCCACCGATGATGGCACCAATGCCACTCATGCCCACCAATGCTCCAGGCGCGAGTAAGTGTTAGTTTTTGAGGAAGTCTCGTGCGAAACCCTTTTGGAAATCCTGCCGCCTGCTCAAAGATGCCAGTTCTTTCATGCATGTAATGATTTTGCTGCGCTGCTTGTCATTGTATCCATGGAGGCCACCAAAAGAGTCAACGGTGACTGTACTGTCGGTGATCAGGTCTCGCGCCTGCTGTCGAAAGCGGAGTGTCTTGCGAAGCTTGCATGCGCACCTCCTTGCATCTGTGGGCTCAGCATCACTAAACTCAAGTGAATCTTGGAAGAAGTCTCGTGGGAAATGCTCGTTTTGTAGACTTGACGTGTGACTCTTGGAGGAGTATCGTATGAAACGCGTGTTTTATAGACGTGACGGTTGACTTTTGAAAAATTTGGAAACTTTAGTAGTAGTGCCCCACAAGGGTGTCCCACAAGAGTGTCCTACAGGGACGTAGGCAAAGAGAGTCCCACAAGAGTGCGCTACAAGAGTGTCCCACACGAGTGTCCTACAAGAATGTCCCACAAGTGTGTCCTACAAGAATGTTTCGCAAGAGTGTCCGACAAGAGGGTCCCACAAGAGTGTTCCACAAGAGTGTCCGGCAAGGGTGCCCTACAAGAGTGTCCTACAAGGGTCTCCTGCAAGAGTGTCCTACAAGAGTGTTTCGCAAGAGTGGCTGACAAGAGTGTCCTACAAAGGTGTCCCACAAGAGTGTTGCATGGAAGTGTCCGACAAGAGTGTCCCACAAGAGTGTCCTACAAGAGTGTGCCACAAGAGTGCACTACTTGGAGCGCAAATGTAATGTCAGAAGCAGCTTCTGGGAGCTGCGCCTTCAGGTAGTACAAGTGTAGTGCGGGAAGCAGCTTCTGGTCCCTCGCGTCTCAGAACTGCCAACTTTACCTGTGGGCTTAGGACTGGCAACTCGTAGTACACATGTAGTGCGGGAAGCAGGTTGTGGGAGCTGTGGCCTCAGAACTGTCAACTTATGTGTCACAGTGTCCCACAGAGTGACGAAAGTGTCGCACGAGAGTGTCCCACAAGAGCGTTCTACAAGAGTGTCTCCTACAAGAGTGTCAAAAAATGTTTGGGCGTTAGTCTTCGAGTACGTCTTTGCACTCGGGTTCGTGAGTTCCATCTTGTACGTGTTTTTTGATTCTTTGACCTACACTTGTCAAAAATGCCAAAGAGACCGAGCCATAAATGGGACAAACACTGTTGCTTCTTCAGCCTGCCTAGGGATGGCTTCAAAAGAAAAGGATGAACATCTCCCTGCTACTGGGCCTGCCATCGCTACTAGATTGGAGGCCATTGCTAGGAGGGGGGAGCGGGCTAAAAGAATAACATCTCTCAACTTTTCCGTATGCCAGCTTGGTGAGCAATGGGATTGGGAACCGTTGCTCTTTCGGCCACCCCAAGGCATGAGCAAACCGTGTTCTGGTCTCCTACTTCACCAAGGTAGGATTCTGGAGGTCGGGAAACCAGCTCAATGGAAGTCGGAGTGGCAAAGAACCGGAACGACAGGCTCACCCAACAATGCTGGAGCAGTTGGGAACAGCCACAGGAAAAAGAAAGGGTCTAATTTAGACTAGATCGCTCAAGATTGCTCCCACTGTCAATCATCAACCCCCAACAATCAAGTAACATCCATAAAATACCAAACCTTTTGCAAACAACTTGACTTTGTTTCCCAAAGTTCTTTGACCTGGGTATGAATCAACATGTGAGTATCACAGGTGCCCCAAACAGACTGTGTTTTAAGCAGTGTAAACAAACTTCGTGAATTCTGCAACCTTTGGTCTCGTTTCTATACCTTTCGGGAAAGCTTCGCTGGTATCTACACGTATCTACAGCATGTTGGGACGGGTGTAATGCCAACAACTGTCTTGCAAACGTCTTCTCGGTCCACCTTTTGCAGGTACTTGTAGCACGTTGGGCAGCCAGGCAGTGTGGCGATTCACAAGTATTTACGGCGCCCGCTGGCACTCACTTGTGTTTGGGTTGCTTGGTTGCTCGTGCTTGGCTTTGGCGGGCTTTACTTGCTGAATTGCTTGCCTCATTGCTTCCGTCCTGTATTCCTTTCTTATTTGGTCTTTCTTGCTTTGCTCTTTGTCGCTTCATTCATGCTTTCCACATATCCAAAAATCTTGTGTACCAACCATGTAAAATCTTTCTTGACCAGTGCCAAAAAACGTTCCTTCCCAAACAATCCCCAGTCCAGTAAGTAGTCACTCGAAAGGTGTGAAAGCTGCGTGACCGAGCGTCAGGGAAGGGATGTGCCATCGCCGCGGAACGAAGATAGACCTCTGCCACGGCGCGCCGTAGTAGCGCAACAAGCTGGGGACGAGTGGCCGGGGTTTCCCCTGACATTCCGCGCGGTGTGACTTGAGAATACCTCTCCCCCAAAGCAGGGGAGTCCACATTGAAAACAGGCTAACCCAAACACCCTGACCAACTAGCATGCTAGCAGGCGCCACCTTCACCGACTTCAACTAGAAGGGCGACTTAGGACTCCGTGGTTCGTTCAATCCTTCCTCTCCTCGTGTTTGGTTTCTTCTTGTCGCCAGTTTGGGACTCTATGCTGACACCCAGAACTCCATCGAATTAGACTCGGTGCCTTGTCCCTACGCCAAACTCTCCGTGATCTTCACACTCGCGATTTGCTTTTTTGTTTCACCTTTGAGATCTTGGGCGGGCCTCAAAGTGTTCTGCAGAAAAAAGGATTCATAACCCAACACACGCTTTCGTTTCGAGGGCTTTTCTGCTAGGTTCATGGAACGTAACGATGCTATTTGCTGCAGAACTCTCCTTGACTGATAGTTGCAATGACACCTAGCCTATAGGTTTGAATAGCCGCACACACACACACACACTTTCTTCATGTGCCGCGCAACTAACGGACAACCCACACGACTCTCCAGAAAAGGACCCATATGAAATCACATTTGGCCGACTGTGGAGATATCTTAGCAGCTTGGCTATTAGGTGGCGGTACCCATTGAAACGTGAACATAAATGTGCATCTCTAGAGCAAGCGCAGCTGCATTAAAAGCTTTTGATCCCTGTTGCATATCCTGGTAGTAAGAAGACATGAATACACGCGGATTGAGGGTGATTGTGAGTGAGAACCACAAGCCACCTTGCACCCTTCTTGAACGGGTTCAAGCCGTCGTCATGAAGCTTCCGAAAGGGGTGAGCAGGTGTAAGTCTCACTAAAAGCGACCTCCTTTGAACATCTAGTGACTCTGAAGTGATTCCTCACAAGACAAACATGAGCAATCTTTGGACAATTTATTCTGTATCGCTAATGGGAAATCTGTACCGCCAAGCTCCCCTTTGGCTGCCCTGGCGTATGAGAAGCCATAGCCATAGACTGCAGCTTCCACGCTCGCTTCCTGAGCCCAAACCCAAGTACGACTTGTCACGCAAAATCAACCCAGAAAGTAAACGCAAATAACTAAAATAAAGGATGGGGGGTTAGCTGCAAAGCTCATAACCCTCTGGGAAAAGCAGTCAGCAGCTCAGCTCCCCAGTCTTCGTCCACCCGAGTGTCCTTTTCGGCGAACAACTCGCCGCGAGCTGCAGCAAGGGGAACATGTCGACAACTCCAGCTTTAGCTTTGGAGGATCTAGCAGTCTTAATTGCCTGCGAGTCGGAAAGGACTTCCTGTTCTGGAGATTAGACAGTGTAGATCCTGAACCAAAAACGCAAGTGAAGTCCTTCACTTCGCAGGGCTTCAAACAATTGATTTCTTTCCTGGAACAGCGCAGCAGCCACCGATCACTTTCAAGCAGGATGACTTGTTTCATCTGAAGAGCTTGAATGAAAGTAGAAAACCCATTCAAATAACGATTGTTCAATCAGCTTGCTTTCCTACACTCAGGTCATCTGACTGTTTCCATCTTCTGCAGCAACCTCTTCCAACCATGAACTGTTCCAGTGCCATTCGCAGACTCCCCACGCCCGCAAATGGCATCCAACCAAGTCACCTCCTCAAAACTTGAACACTGAGCCAACTTCTGTGTGCTCTCAGTGAAAGAACCACTGGCCAAGCTACCGAATTCAATGACTTAAATCAGCCAGCCACTAAGAACCATCATCCAATCCCGATCTTCGTGCAAACTCCTAGAGTTGCAGCTTCCTCAGCTCAGACTGGACGCCTGAAGGCAGCCCAAAAGCACTTGGAGCAGACCCAAAGGTTGTGCGATACCTTGTTGAGGAGCCTTTTGAGCATCCGGACACCTTTGCCAAGAATCCTTTGAGCTTCTGCCATGAGCCTGGGAGCTGGCCATGGTGTGCGTTTACTGGAAGGACTCGTCAGAAAATGCTGGTTTCTCCCACAGGACAATTTGTTTGTTGTCTCACCCAAGGATGGCTTGGTTAGTCCACTGAACCAAGATTTTGCAGCCTAATACATTGTCTGGAGCAGTGTGTGTATGTCAGCAGCATCTGCTTTTCATGTATCACAACAAACAGCTGCACCTTAGGGACCTTCGAGGACTCTGCGATGAAAAACAAGAAGTGTGCAGGATCAGCATTGACAGATTTACGATGTCTAGTACAGCTTTCTAGCTTGTTAGACCGCTCCAGATTCACTCCAGGATCACTGGAGGCTTTCAAACACACCGGACTTTGTCCACCAAAATGAAAAAGGTGACCTGTGAAAAAAAGCCAGGAAACTCGTGTCACATTTTCGGTGCAGGACCCTGTGAATTTTGCATTTGAGAGCTTCACAGTTCTCAGTGCATTGCGACATCTCATGTGTCAAAGCATTGAATGCCTTTTCGGAACGCTTCACGTCATGCTCTTGGAGAGAGACTTCCTCTTGGAGCTCCTCTTGCAATTTGCTTGTCGGCATGCCACTGAGTAGGGCTTTCAAATCATCTAAAATGGAGAAGTCATTCTCTGAGAGCTGATCAAGCGTGATGGATTCAATCTGCCGACTCTTCTCTTCAAGCTTTTGCAATATTTGCTTTAGCTGTTCCAGAGTGTTGCCATCGTCTTTGCAAGACTTATTAGCTGGGCAGGTGAATGCCCGGCTCGTGAACTGGTCCTTTGCCTGACATAGGCTTGAAAGGAACAAGTTAAACTCCCAAAAACGTAGACGTCTTGTCCTTTGCAGGAAACAAAAAACAAGTCTTTCTGCAAATGCAAGATTCACTGCTGAGAAGGCCATCCAGCTGGTTCAGCGGCTCAATGACGCTACTCAACATCTCTTTACCTTGTTGCTGTTTCTCTAAACGCAATTGGCGCCTTTTGACGACCCGCCACATTCCTGGTTGTTTTACCAGGAAGGGTGAGGTTAGGGCCTTCGATTGCCCTATAAGTACGCCTGGCAGCATGTCCAACGCTTCCCTGGCATTCTGCAATCCACCTTTCGCTTTGCTTGAAGATTCGGTCTGTGTGAGGATCTTGCCTTGGAGCTTCTCCTTTCTCTCTTCCTCTTCTTGCAAGCTTTTCTCGAGATAGCCTGACTCTTTGGATTCTAGCCCCCAACCAGCATCAAACTGAGTCTATGGTTACCTTCCAGGCATTACTATTCGGTTTGGATTGAAAGCAGTAAAAATTGGAAAAATCCCAATCAAACGCATGTAGGAAAATGATCCACATGCATTTTCTGCATCGCCGAGTCACCTCGGGCCCGCTCCTGGACCTCACCGAACCTGCCCAAATACGCGGCCACATCCAAGGCGACGTCCACAAGGGTAAAGGTGTCGCGCAGCTCACCGCCAGAATCACCTGTCAATTCGCAGCTCACCGGTGACATCTTTTGGGTCCAAAATTCGGGACGAAGCGAAGCGCAAACTCTTTAGAGCATTTTCCACTCAGAAGTGTAGTTTTCTTTTGTTTTGGCCTTTCACCACTTAGCATTGGGTTTTGGAGGGTTCATCCATTTCAGGCCAGCCGTGCGCGCCGTGCATCCGCAAACGCTGCGCATTCTGCCCGACTTGCCGAAACGAACGTCCACCTCGATGCACAACGCCCTCCAGATCTTGCAGTGGGCCTGGCCTAACTTGGTGAGCAAACCGCATCCAAAAAACCATGTATATAGCTTTTGTTTCAGTCGTACATACCGCAATTGAACAACAACCAACAAAAATTGGCTTGAGTAGATCCAACGGCCAACCAAGTTACCAATGTGTCACATTCTCCTCCATGAGAACAGGTATGATGCGCTTCCGCCACCACTTGGCATGATTTAGCTCTCGATAACAACACGAATCGGCATTCTTCATCTTCTCACAATAGGATGCTGTCACAAAGCAAATGAAGACAATGGAGTTCCTTGGATGTGGAGAAGAGTTACATATATCTTCATTTGCAAATGTCTCCTGATGCTTCTGCTTGGAGCCTGTTGAGAAAACATACTGCAATACATCAAACATTCACTTTGTGGGACATTCTATCTGGAGATCAGTCCTAAAGGGGACAAGGTCTACTACTCAATACACCCTTGCATTTCCGTGCAGTACGTACTGCGTGGTGGGGTACGACTACAAGCTTCCAAGGCTGTCCTCCTGGGTCGAGATCATCTACTCGGAAAATCATCCAAGATTCCAAAAGCAAGCACAGCAACTGCAGTAATCAATTGACGTCCAAAAGGATAGACACGTACTTAACATGTGTTGTGCCGTTTATGTCACAACTGTTTCGTACAGGAAACCAGACCAAGTTGACGTCTTAACTCGGGCCAAGGTTCCTGATTGCACGAGTCAGTTGGTGCTTCAGGTTCTCTCCACCACGCACCTGTTCCTCATCCATGAAGGTGCTGATCTGAAAAATCTCCTGACATAGGCCATAGGCCATAGGAACACATGTAGTCTTTTCAGGATGCTTTCCATTATGCGGGTGGAAGCATCAGCGCAAGGAACGAAGCAAAAAACAATTGAACCCCATGTTCCTGCAAGTCCTTCGCGACCTGGCACACCCTCTGATGATCCTTGCCGTCCTCACCCCAACTGTGAGAGCAAAAGGCATCGAACGACTTCAATGAGGTTCCTTGGCGCAGCTTGCGATGCCAGTGCATGGCTTCACAAGACTTCATCGGGGCTCTGCAAAAACCTCCGAACAGGTTTGGAGTAAGACAACGTTCAAATAGACCTACCGGCGGTCCTACCCCCTCCAAAGTCCAGGGGCAATCAGCACCTTCTTCACCTGTTCAAGTGCAGAGGAACACATTCCCACCATGTTTCCCGTTGTTCAGGCCAACCGCTGATCGAGTAGACCAATACAGAGCCTGCAGAGAGGGAAGTGAAATGGGGCAGAGTAAGACATTTTCGGCTGCATTTTCTGCACCGTCATCCCAAGAAGGGATTCACCTTGCACAAGGCATTCAACCTCACGACCACCTGGCTGACCATGACAGTCTGTTAATTTTCCCGCCCTACCACCACTACTTGCAAGTAAAGTGAAAAGTACTTGTCTCACTTGCAAGTCTTCCCAAAAAAGCCTGCGGAAGAAACATTTGTTGGTGTTCCATGTCCAATTGAGGAAAGCTCGAAGCACACTAGGCCTGGAACCCGACCAGTGGGGCTGATCCAACTATTCAACAAGCAAGCCCAAGTAGAGGCTGAGCTTCGGTGTTCCTTTGCATTCGTCTGCCCAAAGATGTCCGTTTTGGCTCGTCGCGGCTTGTCTGCTCGCCCTCGTGGAAAATGCACCACACGCAGCGGCTGAGACGGGCAGAAGTGAACGGCAAAAGCTACTCCTCATATTGCAGATTTGGTGCGCTCATACAAAAGCCGTGAGCTTTCATCAAGATTGCCTCCTAAACTTCCTCGCAGTAATATAAAAGTGAGTAGAAACATAGTGGGTCTAGAATTCAACACTTTGGAATTCTCCCTGTGTCCATTTGATGTCTCAACTTCTGGGGATTGACATTTGCTGGGAAAAAGACCCCACATCGCTTGCTGAGCAATTCCAGGACTCCCAAGGAAAAGCCAGCCAAGCACACCTGAGAGGTTCGAGGTCTGACAGTGGATTTTTCCAGACGAATTCATCTCCCCGGATCCCTCTACGAGCCCGACCCGTCTCACCCTTTGTCCACACAAACGTGAGGACTGTGACTGCCTGCTCGTGCAGAGTATCAGGATATTGGAGATGCGAGGGGTGGCTCCGAGACGCAAGTTCCGGAATGCTCGCAACCATTCCCTAAACAATCAGTCTTAAACAAGGAGCATCCCTCATGTGATCCTTTCGCGTGGTTGCGATCCGAGATACCCAGGCTCGGTGCAGGAAGCTGTGCCGGGGCCCGCGATGAGGAGACATCTCGATGACGAGGAATGATGGCCACTGGCTACTGGGGCTACTAGCCCTTAGACTGCAACAAACATGCGTGAAGTTCAAGCCAATCACGCCGAAGATCTCCTCTCGAGATGCAGTACCATGTTGGTCGTTTCCACGAAAAGGGGAACCCAAATGGCAGTTGTGGGGTGATGGAAACCCAAGGTTGCTTTGGATATCCTAAGAAGGGACACTGAGTAGATTTCACCATTCTAAGGTTGCAAACCATGTTGCTGTTACCTTTGAAGGTCCACAAGCACTCGTCATCTGGGCCATCTCCTTCAACCAAACCACCCAAACAGTCCAGTGCACTGAGGGAATGGAGTCGCACTCTGCAGTTCGAATCACTGCAGTTCGGCGTGTTTTCTCCACTTAGTCAGTGGGTCAAGACACTGTACCCTAGCGTCTTTTTACGAAATACAAGGCACTTCCAATTAACAACAAACAAACTTCCCATGTTCACCTCATGCATGGACTTTTGAAACATTCCGTCCCAACTGGGAGAGTCCCACCCATGAATTCGATCATTTTCACCAACTCCATGGATGTTCCAGGCATGCCCCAGGCCAATTCTGTTTTTGGGTCCCAAATGAACTAACAAGAAGCTATTAGGAACAAGTGCATCACTACTAGTAACAAGTGCCTTACTAGTAGTAACAAGTAGCTACTAGAAACAAGTGCCACGCTAGTAGTAACAAGTGCTAGTAGTCCCAAACGAACTCTTCTCATTTCATTTGTCCTCCCGACAAACGGCTCCCGGCTCCCGTGCCAGGCCAAGGCTCTCGGAGCGCGCGGAGCTTCGGGTGCTTCTTGGGCACCGAATCCACGTCTTGCAGCGCCTTTTCGCAGACCGGAGAGTCGGTGCCCGGGGAGGCGATCGATTCGACGCAGAGAGATGGACTTTTCAAGAAAAGGGTGCCCTCCAAACTGACAGTACAAGGCAAAAAGCCAACGAAGACCTGTGGTTTCTGGTCCTTTCAGTTGATTTGGAGCCGCATCCTACTCTCCTGGCCACAAGAGTCCAGTATAGCAGCGTCACAGAAAACTCACGGAACATGTCTGCAAATACTTTGGTCCGTGTCAAACTTTCATCAACGCCAGCTCTGGGGTGGTTTGATTGCCCAATCAACCAGGTGCGCTGGGAACGATATACTCATGACGGGGATGCCAGGTTGACCAACGTGGCAACCTTGGAATCATTATCCTTGCCAATGGGGAAACACATGACTGTACGCACAATTTGCAACTACTCACAACTGGCAAGAAAGAGAACTGGATGAAGACACCTCTCCACCACATGAACTTCTGCATGTCTTCTCACCTTGTTCAAGCCAACACTTGTCGCATCAGGTGGAACACAAACCACGGACAAAAGCAGCAAAAAACAGGGGCAGGCAAGCAGGGACTGGAGAAGGAACTGTTGTGGTTCTCCAAGAGTTCACGCAAAGTGCGCAAACCTAGAGTTTGGTGGTTATGTCGCTCATGTATCTTTGTGTCCTTGTGGTCAGCGTTGGTAGAAAGAACTTCCTCATCTGCGTCACTTTCACATTTCACTGAAAGATCAAGTTGAAGTTCCTTCTCAAGATGTGCCTTCTCAAATTTTCGCATCGCTTCCCGTTTCTGCGTCACCGCATGCCACACGCCACACGCTTCTTCCACCCCGTCCACCCCGGAAGTCCTCCGGGTCGACGAAGCCGCAGCGTTGCAAGCGCAGGTCGAAGTCGAACCAGGCCTCGTGGTCCCCGGTCGAGGTGTCGAAGCCGAGTCCATGTCGGCTTTTCGAAACCATGGCGGTGCTCCAGCCCAAGTTTCTTTTTTTGGCTGTTCTGTTTAAAAACCATTTGGAGTCAACCCTGAACGGAACAAAGAAGGTCGTTTTGCCCCTGTACCTCGCCCGAGTCTCTCTGTCAACGGACAAGAAAAGGTCTTTGACCCATCAGACGTCCTGCGAGTGGGAGATGGTCCAGCCAGATCTTGAAAAGCGCCCAAATCTGCCTTACAGTATAAAGGACAAACATGAACCTTTTAGGATTTGGCGACCGACAAACTTGGGCGAATGGGCGAAACCCTGCGCCATCCGTCCAACCTGCGAATCAACATTCATCCGTCCAAGTTCACGGCTGCAGGAACTCTTCGTTCAAGCATCCGGAAGGCTTTGGGTGATGTGGACGGGTGTCCATGGTGGTTTGGATTCGAACTTAATTGGATGTCTTTGAAACCCTTCAAACACCTATTGGTTGTGAACCGCGCAGGCTACATGGTGGTTTCGATGCGAAGCAAACCAAAGAACACCAGGTTTCATGAGCCGCAAACATTTGGCCCTTGCTCCAAAAGGCCTTCTTGCTGGTGGATGCGCCTCCTTCCATGCAGGATGTTCCAATTCCTAAGGGTCTCCCACACTTGTGGTGTAGGGATGTGCAGGGTGTCTTCTCTTCGGTCCGGTACCGTGCCCACTTTCGCCAAGGCGGCGCTCAGGGTCAAGGCCACCAGATGTCCTCATCCAGGGTGCTTTGAACCCGCCGGGGGGATGGTCAAAGCAGTGTTGTGTGCGGATTCACAGGGTCTTCCCAAGCTTCCAAGCCAGCAATCCAAGCTTCCTAGTCAGCAATCCAAGCGAAATCTTTGACTTCTCGGGGGAACCAAGGGAAGAGTGCTTTAGATATTGAACCCACATTGTAGCTGTTCCGTTAATTCCATAGGTTTGGAAGCAGGAAATGCAAGGAAGGAGGAGTAGGTCGCACCAGCTGATAGCAATGGCAGGTCATGCATGCCCTCTGCAGTTGAGACAAACATCTAGAATTCCTTTTGAACCTGCCTAGCACGGGCAGTTTGGCGCTGAACACCTCCTTACAAGCCTTTTGAAGCAAAAGTGGAAAGGTATGAAGGGTGCCAGACACATCACATCCCTAAAGTCCAGCAAAAAGGAGAATGGAGGGGCAACACAGCAGGGAACAAAAGAAAGCTTTCTGAACATCCCAGGAGCCAACCATCGAAAGAACAGCTGAGACAAATGCCGACATCTTTGACCAAAGATAACCAGCTTGCGTGTGGCTGAGCCACTGCTTTGAGACCTTTCGTTCGCCACTTCAAGAAATATAGAAGCTGAAGACAAGCAGAAAAGCAGTTGAGATATTGACCTACACCAGAAGCAACGTCAAATCCATTCGGCCAGACATCCTAAGTCGTAAAAGAAGAACCATGTAAGACCGAATCACTTGTTTCCTTTTCTCCAACTGGGCTCCAACTATCTTTCCTTCTTGACATCCGAAGATAGCCTAGGAAGATCAAACAATGATCGATTTCATGGGTTGAACACTTTCAACCATGGTTTTACGACGGGTCTTTGAGTACAACACCAGGTCAACTGAACTGAAGGCATCCGGGGATAGCTTTTACCTTTCCACTGAAGCTAGGAAAACATCGTTGGAAGGTGTGGGTCGGATGCCGTCCATCGTTGATGGCTTTGGATGATTTTCAACACAAGATCATCAGTCCCCAAAAGAGTGACCACCAGGACTGATTCTGATTGATCTGCCATACACTCCGCGCAACAAAACACACAACGAAGATGTTCATGATGTTCCTCAGATTGGCTTCCTCTTCTTCGGCTTCCTCTTCCCGCCATTTTTTTCGTCACCACCCGGTGGTCGTCAGGTCCGGGTGGCTGCGTTGCAACTCGGAGACCATCTCCGCCTCAGCAATCCCCACGTTGGCGGCCGCGGGCCGTGTGGGCCGAGGGGACCAAAACGAAAGGATGACAAGTACCAGGCGGCGCAGGTCATGTTGAATCACTCGTTCTACTTCCGTGACGGGTCAAAGCCACGAAACATCCCCAGGCTGCTGGAAGCTCCTGGCATCGCCACTGGGAGCGATCGGACGCTACTAGGGGCTCCTGGCCATACTACTAGGAACAAGAACGCTACTAGGGGACGCTTGCGCATCGTTGTTCGGAGTTTGACACTTTGGCGATGACTGCAGAGCTCCCTTGTCGTTCCCCCCGCCCCCCACACTGCCATCCTTAGAAAGAACAAAGCCAAAGCGCTGAACAAAATACAGTGGGACCGTTTTGTGAAACCTGGGAGACCAGCGAAAGAATCGACTTCTTCCCAGTGGCAATGTAGCTTGGGCCGTACACATCGTCGTCATCGAAATGCACGATCACGTCACCTGCGGATGGACGGAGCTTGTACGGTGCCTTTGGCGACTCCAACTGCTCCACCTGGGACGCTTTTCCTTGAAACGAGGTAGACCAAGGTCGGTTGAACAGCACTGGGCGGATGACAGGGTTTGCTTGGGCGCAGGACTTTGCCGAAGATCGGGAAGAACTGAAGTTTTCCCCACATGAGTGGCATGGTGCACATGATTCATTCTTGATCCTTCCATGTACATTTCTGGTTTCCGTTTTTTTCCCGTTGGAACCAATAAGTCGTGCTCGTCACCAAAGCCTAAAAAGATCGGAACACCTCAACCACTGGGGTCCTCTTGGAGCTCGTTTTTCGAAGCCCTTGGTGCTTGTCTTGTCTTGCAACACCCCAACAAAAACACCCCGAAAAGACACCATGGAGCCTTGAGCCCTGTGAAACTCAGCAGTGTTTGGACATTCGGTCCGGTCGCTCGCTGTTGTTTTTGGTTTTCCCCCCACCTGAGGCCAAGAAGATTCCCAAGTTGCGCTTGCAGCCGAGGCTGAGGCTCTCGTCCTCCAGCCTCAAAAGATTTCCGAGTTTCTTGGGGATGAGATGCAGTTTTTGGACAAAGTCATCTTGGTGGTCTAACCTGGCTTCTTTGAAAAGACAGTCAGCTCGAAAAACAAAGAATCCGGGAAGATCAGTGCAAAACGATGTTCCCTGATGGTTTTGAAGTTCATGTTGGATTTTCAAGGGGCTGTGTTTGTCTTCCAAGGCGCCTACTTTGATGATGCATGGATTTCCTGTGAAGATGAGGGATGGGGCATACATTTTGCCAGGGCGGCGTGATGCTTTTATGTTGGATTTGAGGAAGGACACTTGTTTAACTTACTTTCTCACCCCAAGCTTTTTTGCTTGTTCAGGATCCATATGGATACCCCTCAAGTCCACCCAGTGTCCATTGACTTGGAGCATACCACCTTCCAACGAGTGACTAGTCATCCTTTTAAAGGCGTGTGATTTGGGTTGATTGCTTCGTGCGGCCTCTCAAGTTGAGACTACCAGGATTCGATGACTTACGACCGCCCAGCAGCCAATCGTTTACGCTGTAGCAACCAGGATCAGGTCGATGTTCTCTTCCATCGTCAATCGATCAGAACCGCTGACCGAGGCGTCGACTGGACATAGACTAGGAGCAAGGACACTACTAGGGGCTCCTGGCCTTACTACTAGGAGCATTCTTACTAGTAACAAGAAGCTACTTGGGGCTCCTGGCATCGCTACTAGGAGCATTCTTACTAGTAACAAGAAGCTACTGAGGCGTCGACTGGACATAGAGGATCCTCTCATCTTCCGCTGCCAAGCTCGAGAAGTCAGGTGAGCGCGCCCGGGGAGAGGAGCCCCGCGAGCCGGCCTGGGAAAGGTGAAAGAGCCAGAGGGCTGGATGGACCACGACTTCTGGGCAGCCATCTGTGGCGTGGCCGTTTCTTTCGTCGTTGATAGCTGTTAGTAGGAATGAACACAATGCTCTTTTTACTTGACAGAACGTCGTTTTTCCAAGGGGTTGGGGAAAGAACTTTCCTTTTTTTTGTTCACCAAACACCACCAAGGGCCCAGTTGGGTCAGTAGCGGCCGCACAACGAGCGGCGTCGTCCTGATTCGTTTTCGGTCCGCTTGGACGTCGCCTTGGTGGACTCGATGAGGATCAGCTCCTTCTCGGGCCAGTCTTGGGCGCTGAAACAGCTCCAGAGCTGCGGGTGAAACCTGAGTGTCACGGCGGAGACGGAGGCCGCCGGTTGCTTTCGCGTTTGAAGCCCAGCGAGCTGCGCTGCGTGAGAACGCACAAGGACACAGGGATGGGCTCCTTTCTTTTTGGCCAATCCTATAACAAACATCCCGAGCGTACGCCCAGGGCTATGCTTCTTCCCTTGACTTCAGTCTTCTAGGTTTCCGCAGAATTTTGTGAGTTGTGTGATTCGGTCCCAAAATGTTCTCCCTAGAAGTTGGCAGTTCGACAATTTTATGGAAGTCATCCAAGTATATAAAGGAAATTCATTTTTGGGTTGCCGTGTCAGGACCACTTTACATATGGTCTGGGACTCCGGTTTTGCTTTCGAACAAGTACGGCTTCATCAAATCTCGACCTTCGTGCCAAGCTTGAACGACGCTGCAATGCTTCTGCTCTAAGGGTTCTTTGCTCGGCATGGAATCGCTAGGGATATCTCTGCTACAGACAAAGATGCTTTCTTTGTTGGTCTCACTTGAGTCTTGATGTGACATGATGTGACATACTGCATCCTTGTTGATGTCTGAGCTTGTGTGGGCTTGTGGAGATGGGACATTCAAGAGATGTCTTCCCAAAAGTCTATCCCTCACATCAAAAGAAGCATCGAAGACGTGCGTCGCGAAAGACCCAAATTCTCTCAAATCAAAACGGACATACAATGGTCCATGGGTGTAACATGTTGGTTAATGGGGAACATCATCCTTATTCATAAGTATGGATCACCAGCACTACAAACCACCACCACCACCACCGGGGTGGATATCTACCCAATAAATGCATACAAACCGGATCATGGAAAATGTTTGCGTTCGAGATGTTCAGCCTGGCAACCAAATCTCCCATACTGTTCCGCAACAAGGTCTGAACACTTCCGGTGGACTGCAGTTCACTGTAGGTGCGGTCTTTGTTGTTTGTTCCGATCGTCGGGACATCGACCTCAGACTGAGACTGAGGATCTTCCTCTCCAAAGTGGGTGTCTATGTGTAGTTTTGCAGAGGGATAGCCAGCACCGATGTGCTGTGCTCTTGAGATTGCTTCTGTGGAAACCGCTGTTCGTTAAGCAAGCAGGTCCACACCACCTGAGACGGGGAATTTCATGGTGTTTGGAGGTCTCCAGACATGTCTCCCAGCCACAGCCACACACACACACACACTGGGCCACACACAAACACAGAGAGCAGGGTGGAGGCCATCGCTACTAGGGTGGAGGGCATCGCTAATAGAAACAAACAAAAGAACAGGAAGACAATTCAAAAATCATGTTTTCACTTGACGTGCAGCTCAAGGGACTTCCTGCGCCCACTCGACGTGGGCACCACCACTGAGACTCGCCGCGTGTTCCGCGGCGCACGGAGACGGGCCAGCGCGCTGGGGTCCTGACGCCCAAGTCGCTCCAGCGCGCCGAATCGCTGGGAGTGA